TGGAAAGGATTTTTATTGTCTAAAAATATGATAGGTTTAATGGGCAAGAAAAACTGCATCAGATGAGTTACTGCATAATGGATTTGGTAGTGGGCCGATTTGCGGTCTTATCGTCCCCCGTCCTTTTGCACCTAGCGCCCAATTTTTATCTAATGTGGTGCTGCGCGGCAAAAGTACCTAATTTTCTAATGCATATAACGCTTCTTCTTACTTGTAATCCATCTCATTAATAGCTACGGACATATGTCTAGGAAATAAAGGACATGAATACATATTTCTATCATCTTCAGGTATTAGATCAACATCGTGAAATACATAACATTGAAAATCATATTCTGAAGATGCATAGATAAAAGCAGCATTCATTGAAATACCTTTATTATACGTATCATTTCCAGTCTAAAATCAAAATATACTTGGTAATTAAAAAGAACCAAAAATAAAAGCCAATAAATATTTCTTTAGCTTTGTTTTTTTAATTCCATTGATTGTAAGTCTATGGTCATACAAAATAAAGTGTTTGTCCGTACAGAGGTGTGACGGACGTATATACATATGGGTACATCCGTGCGTGTGTTATGTGGTATTAGAGAAGTGTATTTACACCTATTCTGGCTGCGAACGCGGACCGAAGGAACGCGTGAGCAATGTCTCGACTTTAGCAATATTCTTAGACCTTTGGAGTCCTCTAGGGGTCCAGAGAAAACTTTTATAAGTTTTTACTACATTATGAAGCTTACACTTCAAATCAGAGAAATATTTATAACATGTTGTAGATAGTCCGTAGCGAACACCGATCGAAGGGAGGCGTGTACGTTGTTTTGTATTCAAAGTGATCGAAGGTCGTTCGCAGACAGAAGTTCCTAAAGTCTATGGACCGAGCGGGTGCGGACGAGTATGACCTTTTTTTATCTCTCAGGCTTATTGGCTTCCTTATGATTGGCTTATGCATAATATATCTGACTGTTAGGCAGTGACATATTTTAGTCCTTCCTCTATTTAATCTTCTCTTTCTTTCGCTGCAGAGATGTTTTATTTTAGCTGACCGAATCTGACTCGTTGCTGACGTGGCTTTTTCATCGTTATCAGTTCTATATATATAGAGTGTGATATTCTTCGTTTTAAAAAAGATTGTACGTGCAGGAGAGACGTGTTGTTTTTTTGTTGTCTCTCTTACTCCTCTAATTTTAATAATCAAAGATCCTTTTGGAACAAGAGGTCGGATCACGTTAAAGGCAAGTAACGGCAGGAGAGATATTCTAAGTCTGACAGCCGTATTTCCGTATTCTAGACACAAACACACAGACACGTAATCATTTTGCATGACCATAGACTAACTACTCTTTTAGTGATAGCATTAATAGCCACTGTTAGAATAGTGTTTTAATAAAAAATCTGGTACCCTCTCATCGTAAAAAATATCGCTCATTTCTGTAGTAACAAGATCGAGTTACAATAAAATGTATAATATTCCCAACACTATATAAAGCCCTGTGATTCACGTTATTTAAGTTAAATAAGCAACAATTGTATTAATGTACCCATGTGATGAAAATCGCGGAAAAATCGACGATTTTATCGCGATTTACGAACCGATTAATTGTGCGCTTTATCGCGATAAAATCGACCAGTTTGCCGATTTTTTCAACTTATCAGCCAGTAAAATATGAGGTTGAAACTCCTATGCTATAGCATACGACACCTATTATTAAATCGGTTCGAGCTCAACAAATCCCTCATAATAGCTATTTTCTCTTTCTCTGAGTTGAAAAATATGAAGTTAAGTAAATAACTGATTTAGCCGTAATTTAGCGTCAATATAACAAAATCGCCGATTAATTGGCGATATTTTTGATAATGGTGATAAATCGTGGTTTCTGGAAAAATTATCAATTAATCGCCATTAATCGGCGATTTTTTGTCGAAATCGCGATTAATCATCCAAACCGAAGCGATTTCGAGGACATGGGTACTATCGAGATTTACCATTTACTGAGAATTAATCATCTAATATACCTGTATCTACTCATACCTGTTCTGAAACATATATTTTATAATCTAATTCTTGTCGTTGTAATATTGGGTGTAAATAATATAACAGGATTGTTAATTGTTCAAGACGATCACGATACGGAATGATTATAGCTACCTCCAAAGAGAAATTCACTAATAAATTAAAAAGAGGAAGAGATGATGTAATAGAAGGTACCCTGTGTCTGGCTAAACAATTTGGTGGTGCCCAACTACCACCTGATCGGATATTGGAATAATTCATTTCAATATCATATAAAGTTAAATTTAATAATGATGAATTTTCATTTAATACACGACCTTCTATATAAAAAAAAACAGAAGTAATTTACTTTCATATTTGTCATTTTAGCTGTTTATTTTGAAATACCTTACTTAAATTAACTGGTTCTTCGTTGCAATAAAATCGTTGCTCATATTTCGATCCTTGTTTTTTCAATGAATTCCAGATTTTATTCCTTTCATTTTTTCGTTTTTTATCAAAACTGTTATTATTATTATTATTATTATTATTATTATCAAGATAAGTCACATGTTCTTTCAGTTGTTCATAGGTGTGTTTAACATTGGCAAGAATTTTTCTACTTGCATCAACTGGATTTAATAAATAAGCCGTGGTTTCATTTTGGTGTCGTATTTGTTTAATTGATTTATTTGAAGAATGAATAACCGGTTCCAACCACCAATCTGAGATATCGGAATCTCTTTCACGAACTTGAGTTGAACTATCCATTTTTGTATCATATAGATACTTGTTATGGTAATCTTGATGGTCCATAGCAGAATTTGTAGTGAAATTATCATTTTCAACCATTCGATAATAAGAGTGAAACAGTAAACGAAAACGATGGATATAAGTTCCAATAATAAATAATAGACGCCATTTATCTAAATAAACAAGTAAAGAAAGGAAATATCAGATAAGCCAGTAGCGAATAATAGATAATAGGCGTGTTACATCAGGAAACTATCTCCGAAACTACCAGACTAAATCCAATGAAACTCAGTGTTTAGAGGTTTCATGAGGTCCTCTTTCTTTTGGTCTGCAGAAAGTTTTCTTCAAGAAGTAGGTCTTCCAGAAGATCAAGTTTTAGGGTAACTCCCACTTAATAAAACGAATTCAAAAAATCAGCGTTATGAGATGAAACACGTTTAGTAGGATATTCAGATTCAGCGTTGAAAGGTGAACATTTTGAAGAAAAAATAAAGTCTCCAAGTCAAAATTTCAATTTTGTAGTTTAATTACAAATCCGAAAAACTTCACTTATTTTAAATCTCGAATATCTCAGCTCAGGTAAGAGATGGAGACTTGCCAAACGACGTTTAAAGGCACTAGGAGAACTAAACAAGCGCAGGGGTTTGCGGAAACTACAGTTCAAACTCCACATTGAAGGATTTTTTTCATAACCCTTTGTGAGAGTCGTGCTGTAAATTTGAAAATGCTATAAAACCTTGAGTTTTCAAGATGAAAGCTTAATTTAAACACCAGTTGAACGATGACGTCGAGGTGCTTATGTCCACATGATTTCATCGTTCTAGAATGAACCTGCAGCTCACAGATATTTCTCTAACATTTCTTGACGTTTTTCAAGCGGAAAAAATTCGAGTTTCTATTTTCCACAGCTATTGCCCTGTGGTATATCTTTCTAGACACAAGTCGATCTCCTGAACAACTCTGGCTCTTGCAGTTTTATAGCAGGACGCTTTCTTGAGGTGAAATATGGGGAAAAGTCTTTCCCACAGAAAAAACGGCTAGAAAAGTTTGAATATTTTCTGTGAAGTACAGGTTTATTCTAGAACGAGAAAATCATACGGATATATGGACCTTGATGTGCTCTATCGACTGGTACCCGAATGAAGGCTCTATCCGGAAAGCTGAAGATTTTATAGCACTTTCAAATCTAGCGGTCATCTCTCAAAAAGAGTTTGGGAAAATCTCTTAGTACGACGAGTCTGTCCGGAAGTTATCAAACCCTTATGTTTGGTTAGTTTTCGATTGCCTATCTGATCACGTTTGAACCAAGTCTTTATCTATTACTAGTGCTGAGTTATTTCAAATTTAAAAGTGAAGGTTTTCAAATTTCAAATTAAATTCAAAAATTCAGATTTTGAGTTGGAGATTTGATTTTTGCTTCAAAGTTCGCCTTTCAACGTTAAATGTAAATACGTTCCTTAAAATATTCCATCCATTAACACCGATTTTTAAAACCCTTTTAATTCAACTACTATAGGTCAATAACCACTGTTTTCTAGAAGTTCTATTTCCAAGAATTTTGGAGAAACGTTTTTAGAGACGAAAAGAAAGGGGACCTCTAAACACTGAATTTCGTTGGATTATTATTGACTATTGACACTTTGCAAGCAGCTGATATCGTAGATCTGTCAGATATCTATGTCTTACGCAAATTTTTCGCTCACATCAATTCAAAATATGAAGATATACAATTGACGGTTAGGAATAATCGATACCGAAAACTTTCCCAAGGAATTACGAAAGTCTAAAGTGATTCTGTGGAGTTCGTATTACATTCATATCGAATCTCTCTACATAAATCTCTACATAAAAAAACTCTTTCTAAATGTGTGCAATTAACAAATATAACATTGAAATCTCTAGAAATATCGACATCATATTGATCTCGATCTCCGTCATTCTACGCTTCACGTACTTCTACGGTTTCCAGCAGAGCAATTAATTGTTCCCAAGTCATCTAAACGTGAAAATGTCGATCACTTATTTACCTATGATGCTGGTATTTCCAGAGATTTCAGTGTTATATTTGTTAATATCACACATTTAGAAACAGTTCCGCCTTATGTACCAGAGATTCGATATATATATATATAATAAGAACTCCACAGAAACCAACCTCTGACTAATAGTCATTTTATTGTTCTTGCTATACAATTGAACTTTGTGTTGTGTTGCTTACGTATGGGCAATACATTATCTTTCAATATCATTTCGATACTTTTATCCGTTTGTTTTCGTTCTTTTGGGATTGCATACAAATTTGTACCATATTGACTAGTGTGTATAACAAGAAGTTGTGATACCGTGATGATAATTAAAAGTAGTAATGACATATATATATAGGACTATAAGTTAGTTATTGTAGTATTTCAAAAAAATGAATCAAGACGCAAAAATGTATCACACAATTATATTTTTAATTTTATTTTAGGATCAATTTTCTTTTAAACACATTCCAACTACAGCTATTCTGACGTGGTTTTGTAACGAGTTCTCAAATTTAAGTTTTTTTTAGACGTTATTTAATACCGTTTTGATTATATGTGTATTGCCACTTAGCATTTTTCTTTCTATCATTGCTACGTATGCCTTTTAATAGAATAATAAATTTTCAAACATCGACTGTACATCCATCAGTCTTAGTTTTAATCTTCGAGTAATTTTTATTTTTATTTTCAAGTAACGTTTTTTATCTGTCCTAAAAATGAGTCAGAGAAACTAATAAAAATTGTTTTAATGTGAGTCTCAGATGAAGAGATAGTGCGTCACAGGATGTTTGCACGTTCCTTCGCATTTTTATAAATTATTTAGTACTGACGAATTTATTATTAAAGCCTTTATGTTCCCTGGTAACTTTCATACATGTCAAAAGAATAATAAAAATAAAATAAAACGGAAATAATTACAATCTCGTCAATATTCAGACATTTTGGTCTGTCTGATTGTCCCAAAAAAGTATGAATTGTTCGTACAATGCATGTGGCATCTAATTCACGTGCTTCGATTCCCCTAAGCGTAAATAGACGACAGTACGTCAGCACCAACACATAGTAATTTCGCACTATTAACAAATGCTGATAAAATCTTCTGTGAATAACAAAAATATGAAATTATTGCATTACACCAACATTTCAGACAGATATGGTTGAAATATTCTAGTTCCCTTTGATGATTTGGGTTTAACAGTAAATAGAAACTGTAGAAGCAAATGAAGAGTAAGTGCCGAAGATTGAGAGTAATATACGCCAGAATGGTCCTCTTGTTGACTAGTGCCTTCTGTTGACCGGACCATTCTGGCGTATATTACTCCTTCTGAAAAAGTGCCTGGACCTCCAGCTCAGACACATTTTCCTTTATGAGGATGTATTTCTTTAGCGTATTTTAGTCTAGTTTGATCTTTGTATTATCCAGCGTGCAAAATATTTAAACAAACTAGGAATCTATTTGACAACATATTCATAGCACGACTGAGCAAATAGATCCTTCTCAAAGATGCATGCTAAACACATAGCTTTTGTTTTCCCATAATTCTTCTGGCAACTTGTTAAAGGTACCGCCCCCTCCCCG